AATCCCAGGAGGCAACCAGTGAAGCACACCCTGAGGATGGCATAGGAAGGCAAGGCCAGGGCTACTGCCCCCTTGGGCTCATACAAACTTTTATGCTTTTTAAAAAAAATTTAAAATTTTTAAAAATATATGTTAATTTTTTGTGTATGAGTGTTTTGCCTGCATGTATGGAAGTGCACCATGTGCGTACAAGGCCCATGGAGACCAGAAGAGGGCATCAGATCCCCTAGAACTAAAGTTATAGATGGTTGTTAGCGGCCATGTGGTTGCTGGGAACCAAACCCAGGTCTTCTGCAAGAGCAGCCAGTGCTCTTAAGTGCCGAACAATCTCTCTAGCCCCTGTTCCATGCTTTTGACACTTTTGGTCACGCTTACTGAGTGGAAACCAGATGGCCTGCCTGTCCCATCTGCTGTTGGGAATTCAGGCCTATGGAGCTGAGGCCTGGGAACAGGGAGGAGTGGCCTCTTGGGCCTCAGGGAGGTCTCTAGGCTGCACTTGAATGTCTTTGGCTGTTGGACCCACTTTCTGTGGCTCATAAGATCCATGATGGGGACACGGCCATTTAGTGGCTTGAACCAGGAAGTAGAGGGCATGTGGCCACAATCCTCCACGGCCATTTCTCCTATGGGCCCTCTGTGGTAATTAACCCAAGGTCTTCAGTGAGTCAAGGTTAACCCAGAGCCCTCCTCATACCTCCATGTCTAGAGTCTGCAGTGCTGAAGGGAGAAGAGAAGATGCCATCCCCTGCTTAGTGTAGGTTCCCTAGCACAGTGTCTGGGAGATTGATAGGTGATCAGTAAAGCTCTGAGACTTCAGCTGTCCTACAAAGATCTTTAATGAAGATAGTCTGAAAGAAGAAGAAAATACATTTGGAGTAACTTTTGTATGCCAAGCATGGCCTGGGTACTTTCACATCCATTAATTTACTGTGGGTTTTTTTTTTTCCCCAGGGACCTAAGGGTTGGATATTGTTAACAATGAAGGAAACTGAAGCTCAGGGAAGGTTAACCTCCCCAAGGCCATACAGCTTTGCATGGTGGCGCTAAGATTTAAGCCCAGGTCATCTAGCTCCAAAGCCCACACGCTCCGCTCACATTCAGCGTTGTCACTTCAAGTGCTCTTCTGAATTCCTGAGATCCACACAGACTAGGACTCTTCTTGCTCTAATGAAATCATGTGTTTACGGTGTGAGACGTGCACAATCTTATGATATGCAGTTCCCCATAAGATGACTGGCCACTTACAGCAGCACACAGGGGCAGTGATTGTCAAGTCAGTGAGGGGAACGTGAGTGGGAAGGATGCAGGTGGACCCAGGGCTGATGAGCATCCTTCTGCTTAGCTCTCCGCATGCTACAGCGACAGCAGCCCCTCTCCACAGCAGGCCAACCTCAGGTTTCTAGATAAGGAAGCTGGAGCTCACCCAGTAACTAGATAGTAAAGCTATGACTGAAACAGGGATCCCAGCCAAGACTCTATTCCTCAGCCAGTTGAAAGGGAAAGTCTAGAGACCTATCAGTGTTAGAAAAAGTGTGCAAGCTGCAGCCGCCTTGGGCTCTAATGCCCCAGCTTCAAAGAAATGACTCTGGACTTTCCTGTCATGCCCCCTTGTGAAGAAAGCTTTTGTTTCCTATGGATATCCTTAGTTAATTATTTTTAAATAAATAATTGTGTGGCCCGTGGTAGGGGAGAAGCCTCCCTGTGATCATCAGAGGGCTGGCCCTTTCCCTTCAGCCAAATTAAATAGACTAAATCCAGAGACAGTTTGACTTGAGAAGGAATCAATGATGGGGACAGGCTGGGAGGTGAGCGCACACCTGACTCCCAGCGTTATCACCATTCTCTCAGGAGCAGGGCATCTTAGGGAGGCAAATAGCTGGTCAGGGAGTCAGAAAATGCAGGTGAAACACGGGGTGAAGTCCAGATGCTTCCAAAGGGAAAGCCAGCAGAGCAGTAGCCAGGCCTCCTGCCCAGTTGCTTCCTGGGGACCAAATCTGTGAATATTGGAAACTATTCTCCTTGGAAATGTCCTGTCAATGCTTAGACTCTGACTCCAAGTTTTGAGTCCCAGAATTCAAGAATCTTATGACCCATATCTTGGGGTCTTTGCCATTACCTGCGCCCCCCCGCCCCCCACCCCCCACAGCGTCTCCACCCTCAGTTGACTGGTGTTTGACATTATGCTAGAAGCTATAGAGATGTTGTCTCCAATCCTCCTGTGGAGGAATGTTTTGTCCATGCCATGACAGGAAGTTATGGTGCAGAGGGAGAAGGCAGTGTCCCCAGGATCACACATTCTTTGAGAGCCAAGGTAGGATTTGAACCTACCTGTGTCTGGTTTTAAACTCTAACATCTTCCCATTGCTCCTCCGTGCTAGGAAATTCTTCCATTGGTCGGAAGGCCACCTCACTCTTTTCGTTGGTGTGCCTCTGCCTTTGTAGAGTCTTACACCTTTAGACTCTCAAATCTCTTTCTTCCTGGAGGATCCTGCTGGGAACTCAGGGGCCAATGTGAGTGGATCAAAAGGACCAAATTATCCAAAAGGATGGAGATAAGGGTGGTAAATGGGAGCCTTAGAGGGCTGCAAACAGTGCAGAGGAAGACAGATGGGACTAGGCTGATTTAGAGAGGTAGAAGCCTTTTCCATCTTTTCTTTTCAAGGACTCTGTCATTCCTCAAAAATGCACTGTCCTAGACCAATAACTACTGAATTCCAGTGTCAAATGGCCCTTTGAATCAAAGGATGGGGAAGCGGCCAATAGAAAAAGTCCATTGAGGAATAGAGTTATAACTCAGTCAGTAAAGTGTTTGCCTTGCAAGCATGAGGACCTATGTTTGATACCCCAGAACCCAAGAAAAAAGAAAAAGCTGCCAGGCATGGTGGTGCACACCTTTAATCCTAGTACCCAGGAAGGCAGAGGCAGGCTGATCTCTGTGAGATGGTGGCCAACCCAGTCTACATAGCAAGTTCCAGGCCAGCTGGTGCTACAGGAAGACCCTGTCTCAAAAAGAAAAAGAGAAAAAGAAAAAGCCAGGTAGCACGCTTTTGTAATCCCAGATCTGGGGAAGCAGAGACAGGTGGATCACTGGTGCTGCCTGAGAGACCCTGTCTCAAAAAATATGGTGGATGGAACCTAAGGAATGACATCCAGTGTTGTCCTCTGACTCATACACATGCAGCTGAACATGCACACAGAGCCACACACCATAAACATGTGCATGTTCACACCACACACACACACACACTCAAAAAAGAAAAACAGAAAACCCATCAGGCACTTCATAGCCATACAGGCTGACCTTGGAGGTTAGAAATCTGCTCTAACGTTTGTTCTTGTTTGTTCGCCAGCCCTCTTAGCTCTTATGTGAGCCTTAGGAGGATCCTGGGAAAACTAACTTGAGTCTTCTCTTGAAAGCGGCAGCTTACAGAATGGGAGTCTGCTGACCATGGCAGCTTGCCTAACTCTGGAGGGGACTTTGTAACCTCCCCTGGAATGTGGGACTCTGATGGGAGCAAAGAGGCAGGTTGGCTCAGTCTGGGAACCTGGGCATGAGGAATACAGCCCACTTCTCCAAATGATCCTATGTCTTGAGCATCCTATGGGACAGGACCCCCAAACCCTTTTGTCAGTTCCAAAACAACAAAAAAAAATTCCCTGGGATGAGACACTGGAGTTGGGATGCTCCCCTCAACCTTATGTGTTTCATGAGCACCTCAAGGTGTTTCTGCCAACCAGCCCCAGTTTCTTTGTTCTTCCACTTCCTTCAGTGGTCTCTGTCCCATACTCTCCCTTTCCTGAGAGCAGGCCTCCCTTTTGATTCCTAAGCAAGAGACAAGGTCAGAACAGTGAGGCTTTTAAACATGCTTGATTCTCCTGTCCCTTGCAGACCAAACTGCAGTGGTTCTGTAACACTTCCCACTTTTGTGTGCTGCCTGCTCCTCCTCCACACAAGTGCCCTCCCCTGTGCCCCAAAGACAGCCAAAAGGGTCCCCATCAGAAGAATATGAGTTCCATAGCTAAGGACTACTAGCTGCAGCCCCATCTTTGCCCTACTCTGTCTATGTCCTTCACTTTGAGGCTTGGCCAAAAAGTGGTATGCAGAACTGATGCCTAAGCTATAGCTCTTACAAGCACTACTGGATAAGTGCCTCTTTGTCAAATGGTCTATTCATACTTTGCGACCCCACAGAGCCAAGAGGCATTTAAGCAAATAAAAGGAATACTCCAAGTGAGACCCTATCTCAAAAACAAAACAAAACAACAACAAAAAAGAACTCTAGCCAGGGAGAGAAGACCAGTATCAGTCTCTACTTCCTAAAATAACTGCTGAAGCAGTAACAAGCAGAATCATTTCATCTACCTTCCACCCATCCATCCATCTATCCTTTCATACATTCATCCATCCAACTACCCATCCATGCATCCTTCCACCCATCCATCCTTCCACATATTCATCCATCCATCCATCAATCCATCCATCCTTCCACCCATCCATCCTTCCACCCATCCATCCATCCATCCATCCTTCCACCCATCCATCCTTCCACATATTCATCTATCCATCTATATCATCCATCCATTTATGTATCATGTAGGCATCTGACATCGATCTCACTTTCTATTTATCACCTCTATATCCATCCTTCCACCCATCCATCCTTCCACATATTCATCCATCCATCCATCCATCCATCCATCCACCCATCCACCCATCCATCCTTCCTCTAACAGAAGTTGATTGAGTGCCTACTAAGTGCCAAAGCACAGGGGTACAAGGAACAAAAAAGCAGATCAAAATGTCCTACCCTCAGGGATCTTATATTCCACAATTAAAATAGAGGAAGACAACTGATATTTCCTGTGAGTGATCAGGGGAGGAGAAGGCAACTTTTGTTTTCTTGTCATTTACCCTTGAAAACAAGAGGCTCTGAGTCAGATGGGGGCCGGGGGGTGTTAGTGAAACTAATGTTCCCTGTCGGGTTCATGTTGTTTTGCAGGAGTGCGGTATAGCCAGCAGGGAAGCAATGAGGTCACTTCCTCTTCAACAATCAGTCACCATGGCAACAGTGCCATGGTGACCAGCCAGTCTGTTTTACAGCAAGTCTCCCCAGCCAGCCTGGACCCGGGCCACAGTCTCCTCTCACCTGATGGTAAAATGGTGAGTACACCTGGGCCATTGTAGCTCTGGAGCTGATAAGATAAGAGGCAAAACAAACACAAATTCTCACAAGGCCTGCCTCAAACAATGAACCATTGTAGCCCCACCGGGGAAATGGGGGCTGTCCAGAGCTGGAACGGAAAAGTAGGCTGGTGACCCAGCCTTTGGCGGGTAGAAGAGGTGTTCGGTTTGAACCCAGCCAATAAATCTGACAGAGCTCTTGCTCTCATTTTATTGATTGAATGCCTCATAAAGGAGCAAGCCGGGTGGGACGCTGTTTGTTTTGGGGCTGCCAATGACATTTGTGTTGATAAAATGTACATTCATCCCTCCCCTCCAAGGTCTCCAGAGCCAGTTTCTTTTTTTTAAGGCTGAGAGCACCTCACTTTGAAACGGGCTCCCCTAACCCCATTTTCTAAATCCTTCGGTGCTGGTGAAGGACAGCATTAGAATGAAGTGGATGGTGGGAGATAGGAGAAGCTTCCTGAACTGAGGGGAAAGACGCACGTGGCAGGGTAGTGGGGTGGTGCTTAGAGTAGGAAACGCGGGCTTTGAAGGTATTACCTGTGCTCAAATCTCAGCCCCAGCACTTTGTAGTGGTGTAGCCTTGGGTAAGTTACTAAACTACCTTAGATCTCTCTTCCTCATCTATAAAACAAGGGTAACAACAAGAGGGTTGTTGGGGAGTGTGATAACACGTGTGAAAATACTCAGCATTGTAAATATCCCATGAATGGCAGTGCTGTTACTTTAATGTCAATATCATTCTCACTAAATGAAGCTTTTTATACCCGTAACCACAGCCCCACACCCAGATGCACATTTAGCCTGCTCAGTAAGACTCATTTGAATTTTCAGGGTTCTAACTTTTTTTATAACTTTTATTGAATTTGTTCTTTGACAATTTCATCCTTGTATTAGCGCACACTGATTACTGTCACTCCAACCATCCCTGAACCCCACACAACCTCTTTTACCCTCCCTTCAAGTCCTTCTCCCCCATGGTGGCTTCAGCTACACAAGGGCAAGGGGCGGAGATCTTGTGAGAGTCCAGGAGCATTGCCACATCACAGTGAGGGTGAGGAATGGAAAACTTTATTCTCTGGGTCATGCTCTGTTTCAGGGGAAGGAGGGGCTGCAGCTTCCTGACTTCCACGCTGAAGGTGGAGCCACACACACATTCCCGAAAGGTGCAAGGTGTCTGACCCTGAGGACAGTGGGGGCTGGAGTGGGAGGAAGGCGGCTGGGAGCAGATGCTGTTTTAGACCTTGGTGTGTGTGCTGTGTGGGCAACACAGGAACAGTGAGTCACAGGTGATCAAGTCTCCAGCTCCCTGGAGGGAAAACAAAGTGTAGTTCCTGAGGGGAGTACTGGTCTGGCCAACTCTAGTTTCAGGAGACCTGAGCTGGTCTCACTTGTGGTAGTCTTCGAAAACAGAAATCAAAGAGCGACCTGGTGGGCAGCATTTTGACACCCTCTTACAATCCTCCCCAGCCCTGAAGAAAGATCCTTCTTCCCTAAGAACAATTTGTGTCTGCTACCTTGTGGAGGGGTCTTGATGATTTCTTAACAGTCATGTAAAAACCCAAGCAAATCAGAGTTCAGCATGATCCAGGCTTTCCCCGGAAAAGGAAGCCTTTTAGAAGAGGCCTTCACTCCTCATGGGGTTAAAAACTCTTATGTCCTAGGCTGGGGCTGTAGCTTGGTAATAGATGTGCTTGCCTGGCAGGCATGAAGCCCCAAACACTGTAAAAATAAAATATAATTCCAATATAATTTAGTTCTTATTGCTTAAAGATTCTTGAAGTCATTCTGAGCATTCCCCTGTTCCTCCTCCTAAGGGGCAAGCTACCTTCTGCACTGTCCGAACTGGGCAGTGTATTACTGGATTGATGATTGACCAAAACAACACACCTCAGTGTTAGCAAACATCTGGAAGCTTGTTTGCAGGGACCAGCTTTTTCACCTGTCTCCAACACCCTGGTTCATATGTTATGTCACTATCGCTGGATGCCTGAATTCAAGTCTGTTCTCTGTTAATATATAACAAGTGCATCCCACATCTTGGTCTACCAATACAAGAGTGGAGTATGGTTTAAAAGGACCATGGTGGGAGCTGTGGAGATAGACCAATGGGTACAGTGCTTGCCGCACAAGCAGGAGAACCCAATTTGGATCCCCAGAACCCATGTGAAGCTGGTCACAATTGTGCAGTAGGGAGATGGGAGGAGGGGGACAAGATATTTCCCTGGAAGCTCTCAGACTAGTTAGCCTGGCTAGTCTAGTGTTTGCTGTGGCAAACACCAGGAGACGCTGTCACAAACAAAGTAGAAGGCAAGAACTGACATCTGACATTGTCCTCTGACCGCACACATACTATGGCATGTATGTGCACACACACAAACACATATACACAATTTTTTAAAAAAAAGGAATTTGAGCAAGGAAATCCACATGTCCATCATTTACCAACAGTCATATGAAAGAATTGCTTAACCTCAGTGTTTTCACCTGTAAAATGGGTGGGGATAATGTTTTTGTCATAGGATTGCTGTGATGATTGCTTACAGCTAGCTCCCTTGTTTTGGAAGGAAGCCCTTTCTAAGAATGACAGACTCTGCATGCTAACTTTCCATGGGACGTGTCTTTTAGTCTTCCCTCAGGATTGGTTTTGTAAATAATGCCATTTAAACTCTTCGTTGCACTGTTGCTCCCCCACACCAAAAATGGTATGGCCAGTTTAAGTTTGCAATCTTGTATACTGATTCATTTTTAACTCATGTATAACGTTCCCGGCATTAAGTCAGGCCTACGAGGCAGATCAACTGCTTTCAACCTCAGTGCTATACTTGAGTAAATTTTTTAACTTCTCTGAACTTCAGCTCCCTTCTCTGTAAAACAGGGATGATAGTACCAACCACACAGGTCATAGGCACGAAAAGGAACTAGCTTAGCAAAGGTACTGTATAATCCAGGCTCTCCAGATTGTTGTGTTAAGGGTCATCACAGGGTCTCTGGCAACTCTCTGGCTTCCATCCATCCTGGAAGCCAGTGGAAGGTACTGGATACCTCTTAGAGTGGGAAGTCTCTTGACCAAGGTTGTCAAGCACAGTAAGTAGACGAAACTGATTTGAACTCGGACTCCTTCACTTGCGATCTATATGTCTCTTGAAGGTCAGTTTTTTAATATGAAACATGGGAACATTGATCATAATGCCTACCCTGTTTGTGTCATTATGGATTGAGAGATTCTGGGAAAGTGATTATTACAAACACGAAAGTCGTACATATTTCAATCATTTTTATTGTTGACATCCACATTCCTGTTTGCATCATCAAAACTCAATGTTGAAGTGGCTCAGAGGTGACCTGTGGCCCCAGTGACTTTCTCCAAAAGACCATATTACCCAGGGGGTTTGGTCCCAGGGCAGGTCACAGATTTTTTTTTTTTTTTTTTTAATGACTCTGACATTTTGAGAAAACTAGCCCAGCAAACAGGCTGGTTTTCTCTTGTTTGATGTGGTCAAAATTCCTTATTGGTCATGTGACCTCTAACTCATTTCTTGTCGCTCATTTTAAAAACACAAACAAACCTGTTCAATCCTCCCCCACGTTTCCTTTTTTTTCCAAGTTAACCTTGGAAACTTGAGATTGACCAGAAAGGCAAGGTAGAAAGTAGTGTCATACCAGATACTACAGCGAATCCTGTATCTGAAGAGTTGTAAGAAGTAGAAAAATGAAGAAGGGAAGCTGAGGGACAGGCCTCCATCCCATAGCACCTCCCCAGGGGTCCTGACACTCAGCAATGTCTGGGTTTGTTTAGAATGAGCAAAGATGGTTTTTTCTTGAGAAAAAAATTTTAGAAACTATTTTAAAACTGTGACTAGCAAACTTCTTTATCATGAAAAAGTGTGTATAGAAAACTGATTTGATATATCATTATAAGTAATGGGGAAACATTAGAAATATTTCTGATAATATTGGGGTCAAAATAGTAGTTACTTTTTAATAATATTCAGAAAGTGCCAACCAGTAGGCATCTAGGCATATTTGTTCAAACAAGGAAAAGCCCCTGCTGGTATCTGATGCTCATAATACAATTACACACTTGAAAAAATGAAAAATTAGGAAAAGATAGCAGTAGGAATAAATGGAAGATTTCGATTTGGCAGTCATGTGCAAAACAAATATACAAGAATTGATAACATTCCCTTATGAATCTGTTTAGTTAAATTGTTGGGGTTTATTGGGGTTTTTTGTTGTTGTTGTTTGTATTTTGTTTTGCGGAAGGTTGTTTTTTTGAGACAGGGTCTTCCTGTAGCCTCTGCTGACCTGGAATTTGCTATATAGACCAGGCTGGCCTTGACCTCAGAGAGATTCACTTGCCTCTGCCCCTTCTGGGATTAAGCTCGTGTGTCACCACACCCAGCTTGTTTAGTAGTTTTATCATTAACAGTATTGGATCCTTGACAATAAAAAAGAAGGATGAGAGAGAAGGAGGGAGGGGGTAGGGAGGGAGGGAGGGAGGGAAGGAAGTAGAAAGAATTGAGGGATGGAAGAAGGGATGGAGAACAATTTGTAATGCATAGCAAAGATTTGGAAAAGGTAGACAAATCCTGGTGTGCCTTAATGTAATTAATTAGTGTGGGAAGAGGAGAAAGGTGTTCTACATAACAGATAAGAACTTGGGGTCTAGAGTCAGACTGCCCTGGGCTTGAGTAGCAAGTTACCATTTCCTAGTTTTCTCGGGCAATATACATAGCTACTCTTAGCCTCAGTTTTTCATCTGGGAAATGGGCACGACCAAAGTCTCTCCTCTGGGACTGTAGTGAGGTTTGTGAGCTGATGCATGAACAGGTATTGGGGATGCTTCTCTGTACCCCTTTCCAGTTCCTAGTCTATTCTCATTTGGGAGTCCTAGGGCATTTCCTCAGTATCATTTTTAGCAGTCACATATCTCTGACCCTGCTTAGCTTCCTAGATCAGAGAGATCAGACATGTTTGAGGTAGCAGTCATAGATCTCTAGCATAACGTAAGAGGCAGGAAAGCAGGACCAAGGGCACACAAAGAGTGAGCAGATGACAATCATGTAATGTGTGTGAATGGAAGAATTTCTGAAGCATGCTGGCAGCTCAAAGATAAGCAACAAACAAGGGCCATGAGGGCAGAGTCCTGCTGTGTCACTGCTGTCTCCTCAGCATCTAGAGCAGTGTCTGCCTTCAGTGGTGCTTAATCTGTGCTGTTTAGTGGATGAATGAATGGCTACGTCACACCATTCTAGAAACTTCCCTTTGCAGCTTTGCCTCTCACATTGCTCTTGTTTTTCCTCTCCAGCAGATATCAGCCTCAGGAGGAGGACTGCCCCCAGTCAGCACCTTGACGAATATCCATAGCCTCTCCCACCACAACCCCCAGCAATCTCAAAACCTCATCATGACCCCCCTGTCTGGAGTCATGGCCATTGCACAAAGTAAGTTCTGCTCTTGGTCAGAAAATCTGGGAGCAGGGAAACGAATAAAAAACAAGTCAACATGATAGAAAAAAGAAAGAAGGCATCTGTGTGATTCTCTTTTGCACCTGTAGGTTTTCTTTAGGGTCTGGTAGTTGAGACAGGGTCTCACTGTGTAGCCCTACTGGCCTGGAAGTTGCTGTGTAGATCAGGCTGGCCTCAAATTTGCAGCAATCTTCCTGCCTCTGCCTTGTTCGTAGAGACCACAGACGTAGATTTGAAACTTCTTTAGTTCTTTTTTTCCTCTCTCTCTACAATGTTTGGACCATTTTACCTAAAACAAGAGAGATTTTTCTAATGGATTTGAATCTGGTTCACAATTTACTAGTTATACAGCCTCAGCCAAATCACTGAACCTTAATGGGGTTCAGTTTTCTCATCTATAAAATGAGTTGTCGGAGCTATCCAGTGGCATTGAATACAGATGTGTTTGTAGTCTGTAAAGCAGGACTATGCATTCTATGTAGCTTATACTTTTGTCCCATGTTCATTCCTATCTCCACATATGTAGCAGATTTTCTGGGAAAGTCTTGGTACTGTTAAAGATGGAGCAAGACATGACATTTTTCCTGTAAACAAGGAATTTTATGTCAAGTCTTCCTTGGCTAGTGCTAAAAACACAGAAGACCCAGAGGGGCACTGCCGAAGTATCTCAGCTTTCACAACTTTAAAGAGAAATAGGTTGTTTAGCACCCACCTGGAGACAGGAGATGGATCCAGTCCTTCTAGCTAAAGGAGGCTCTTGTTCTGCACCAGCCTTGCCCATCACAGGTGGGCCATTTCTAGCCATGGACAGGCTAAAGCAGGTAAAGCGGGCTGTGACAGCAGATAGCTGAGGGTTTGGGTATTGATGGGCATCTAGTATAGTTTCAGCTTCCCTGTGACAGCTCAGGCCAAGTCATTGTTTTCAGAGCTATCTTTGTGACGTTTGGAAATCTTCCTGATGACCCAGGAGGCACCTAAATGATGGTATACCTGGCATCGTTTGTTCAACTTCATATTGCTCTGGGGTCCCCTTGGCCTTCCTGTGTCCAGTGCCCACATTGATTCTTTCTTTGTTTTGTTCCTGTATTTTGTTTTCCTTCCATCCTCCCAAGAACTGGAATCATTTCTAAAGAGAATGACTTGTGCTCCCTTTGGAGGCAGGACAGGGTAGGGACCATTGAAAGCATACAAATTTCCTGAATGATTTGTGTGGCTCTCATCCTGTCCTTAGCTGCTGGGAATATTAACATACTCTATATTTTGCAGAAAATGGGAATTTAAAAAACCTTTAAAAGATTCACAACATTAAAAATGATATTATATTTACTTGTATTGCACTGAAGCTTCTGGAACATGGACTGTGGTAACCAAACTAATACCAGGGTTTGGGTAGAGAATAAATAGGATGCCTAGGGGCTGGAAAGATGGCTCAGTGGTTAAGAGCAGTGGCTGCTCTTGCAGAGAGGTTCTGGGTTCAGTTCCCCACATGGGAGCTAACAACTGTCCAAAACTCCAGCTCCAGGGGATGCAAAGCTCTCTTTTGACCTCCACAGGCTTTGCATGGCACAGGTACATTTACATACATGCAAGCAAAACACTCATACACATAAAATAAAAATAAAATTTAAAAAAGATAGATGCCTAAAACCAGGTGGAAGGAGAGAGCTGACTCTTGAAAGTTTTCCTCTGATCCTCACTCACATCAAGTGAGAGAGAGAGAGAGAGAGAGAGAGAGAGAGAGAGAGAGAGAATAATTTTTTTTTAAAAAAGATTTCATTAAAAGGTCTTTAAGGCTGGCCATCATGACATATCTATAAACTTAGTTGAGGCAGGAAGATTTCAGATTCAGGGCCACACTGGAATAAATAGTGGGAACCTCACTCACAGCAAAACTTTTTTTAAAAAAGGCCTGCGCACTTGGTGCTTGTTAGCACCGCAATCGCAGCACTTCTGAGCGAGAGGCAGGAGAATCACTGAAAGTTCGAGGCCAGCCTGGTCTACCTGGTGAGTTCCAGGCCAACCAAAACTTCATAGGGAGACCCTGTCTCAAAACATGCACACATACACACACAAAGGATAAGAAAAAAGAAAGGAAAGGCTTGTGGGGTGGGGTGAGGGGCTGGAGAGATGGCTCAGTGGTTGAGGACACACTGGTTGCTCTGGCAGAGGACCTGGGTTCAGATCCCAGCACACACATGGCAGTTAACAACCATCTGTAACTTCAGTTCCAAGAAATCTGATGCCCTCTTATGGCTTCCATGAGCATTGCACATACATGGTACATTTCCATACATGCAGGGCAAACACTCATATACATAAAATAGAAAAAAAGTAATATACCTACTACCGTATTTCTTCAAAGTGAAACATAAACTGCCCCACTTTCTTTCATCCCATATCAAACTTTAACTAATAAAGTTAAATATATTATTCTAGGTCCTAGCTGAACTAAAACTTTCCCTAGGGCCATTGCATATTTTTCAAATTTGTTCTTCCTAATCCCTGTTCCCATGCATCTCTGCTTCCTTACAGTGTCTCCTGTAGTGGGTGGACAGGTTGCACACTGACCTTAGGCACATGTGTGCATTGTGCACTTGGGTAGACAGAGCGTGAAGAAGGGTAAGGATCACCAAGGAAGCTTGACTGAGACCCAGTGTCCTCCCCCAAGGGAGAGTGGGGTCCACACATAGCTGTATCCAGGGGCCTTCCCTCAAGACTGAAAGGCTCTGGTCAGATGGCTTGTCAGTGCCAAGCCCTCATTCTCTTCACATCTGCTGGACAAAAAGGCCACAAGTCACACACTGGGGGAGCTAGGATGACATCAGAGAGTCTCAGTCCTGGAACAGAGGCAAGCCAGGATCAAAGACTGTACAAAATGAGTTCCTGGGCCCCACCTCTGCAGGTTTTGACTCATTAAGTCTTGGGTGGGGTCCAGGAATGCATATTTCTTAAAGAGATCCCTCAGATGGCTCTAAAGCTCAGACACGTTTCTGAACTGTGCCCTCAAATGTCATCCAGTCTAGACAGGTTAATATTCTTTTCTGGGTAGAGATTTCCCAAATAGAGTAGTAGGCATGGGCTTCTGGAAAAACAGCAAATCTATGGAGAGTCCAAGGGACCCAGAAGCCATCATGAGAAAGAGGCGGGAAAGGGAAATAGGATATCAGGGTATCGATTGAGATACAGACTTAGGGAGAAACTGTGTCCCTCAGGAAGTGGAGCTAGTGATATTCTGAGGGTGATCAGAGGGTCTTCCCCAACCCCCACCCAGAGGAGCCAGGAAGAGGAGGGTCATCCGCCCTTCCTTTCTCCTCAAGGGCTCACCTTCTAGGTTTCTGATAACAGTATCAGCTAAAGCTCCAGTAGACAATTGTTGAGATCTTTGTGTTATCACTCTTGAAGATTTCCCACAATCCTGCTTAAGAAGCCCTCTCTCTTTCAAGAAAGGCTCTCTAGACCTAGATCTCCACTCTGCATTTACCTACAACAGGTCTTTTTCTGGATCTTCCTCGTTGTCCCATTCTTCCTCTGACTTCTCATAAAACTAGAAGAAACATTGACAGTTCTGGGAAAGAGATTGGGGTGTCTTCTCTCCTGATCCTCTGTGCTCCACTCCCATCCTACCTTACCCTCCCAAGAAGCACCTAGAGTGGATGAGGAGAGCCAGCTCTTAGTTTGAATTGAAGTGTGTGTGTGTGTGGGGGGGGTCTCTTCATTGCTGCCCTCTACTGGAAAAGCAGATCTGGGCAATAATCTATGCCCTAGAGTGGTGATACCCTTATCTCTGCCAGAGGACACCAGGACAGGCTTCTCCAGCATGGGTAAAGCTGGCAAATAGAGTCAGCTGTCCCAGGGCTCTGGTGACCTCAAGAGAGCTAAACTTGTGAGATCATAGGAAGACTTTGGGAGACTGAGACTTCAGAAATTCATCTCTCCAGGTCTCAGTTTCCTTGTCTGTAACGTCACTTCCCATGAGATCTTTTCCAGTGACAGGAAGGCTCAGCCCAGTGACAGGCACAACTGAGCAGGTGCTCCATTCACCACTGCTGCTGCCAGGTCACTTCTCATCCTGGCATCAACTCTGACCTTTCACTTTTGTTCCCACAGGCCTCAACACCTCCCAAGCCCAGAGTGTCCCAGTCATCAACAGTGTGGCCAGCAGCCTGGCAGCCCTACAGCCCGTCCAGTTCTCCCAGCAGCTGCACAGTCCTCATCAGCAGCCCCTCATGCAGCAGAGCCCAGGCAGCCACATGGCCCAGCAGCCCTTCATGGCTGCAGTGACTCAGCTACAGAACTCCCACAGTAAGGACACAGGCATGAGGGGGTTGGAAGTTTCTTGGGAGGTTATTGGTTTGGTCACTTTTTCCTATTTATAATCAACCAAGGCAATTCTCAGGCTCAGCTCTTATGTGTTATTCTTGCTTTTCTAGTCCCCTTACCCAGCCCAAAGATTCCAGAGGAAGTTTGCAGAGGACAGCATAAGCTTGTATGCAAAGGGGACTTAGCAGTAGCATGTAGACACACACTGCAATTTCCTATCCCAGCACCCTGGAAATCTCACCAGTTACCCACTGCATCTTTCCCAAAGCTTCAACTTAGCAGCTGTCACCAAATGATCAGAAGTGGCATACAATCTGTATTCTATTTGCATCTCTGAAATAGAAGAATCTTCAAGAAGAATCTTCAAGAGCCCTCATGTCCCCATTGTATGTACCCTAGAAATCTCGAATCAGAAAACATGAACCTCAGGCTGGAGATATAGTTCAGCGATCAAACCCTCACCCTACAAGTATGAAGCCCTAGGATCAATCCTTAGCACACAAAAAAGCACCAAACCAAAAACCAAATAACAACAACAGCAAAAAACAAACAAACAAACAAAAAACCCCAAGGGCTAGGGAGATGGCTCTCATGCAAGCATGAGGACTTGAGTTTGGATCCCCAGAACCCATGTGAAGTATCTGGGTATTGGGTTATGTGCCTGCAATGCCAGCACTGGGGAGGTGTAGACAGGTGGATCCCTGGGACTCACTGCTCAGCCAGCTTAACCTACTTGGCGAGTCCAGGCAAATGAGAGACCCTGTCTCAAAAAAAAAAAAAAAAAAATGACATGGATGGCTCCCGAGGAATGAAACCTAAGGTCATCCTCTGGCCTGCACAGACATGTATGCAGACATGCCCACACATATATGTGTACCTGTTCACAGCCTAGCTAGAAAATATCACCTGCCCACCATCAGCTTGAGGAGCGTCAGGGTCTCTGTCTCCTGCACAGAGGACCCCCATATTTAGTTTCTATGTCTCCCCTAAGTCTACCTATCCCACCCTCCATCCTGATCCCTGGGTTTCCACTTTTCTGGCTACGCCTGGCTGAAACCCCTTTTTCAAGTTTGGGAAGGAATCATATAAAGGATGGACATCTTGCTGATTTCAGGAAATGTCCAGCCTAGGCTAGCCTTAAATCAGATAGCTATGTTGCTGCTGGCAGCTTACGTAGCTTTTCCAAGTCTCCGTCTTTTCAAGCATAAAATAGGAATCTTATGCTTATAGAGTAATTATGAAAATGAAATAAAAATATGGATGACCTGCATTTTATGTGCGTAAAACATTACAGAAATGCAAGTTTTTGTTCACTAAGTGATTCTTCGGAAGCAAGGAGGACAAAGGGGATTTGAGTTGCTCCCCCAGCTGCCTGGACAAAGCTGCAAGTCTGAAGCTGAACAGCCAAGTTCAGTCTTCTATCCTCAGGGCTCAGTCCTGCCTCAGGCCTGCAGAGCTGGTTTCTGGGCAACATCTCACATTCCGATCACATATCCTTGGCTTTTAAAATTCTGCCACAGCCTGTAGTAGGGTCTGAGACCCACATGTACCTTATTCTCCTTCCTCCAAAGTCTGGCAACATGCTCCTTACTTGCCTCATAGGCTCGGGTGGGACAATCAGACAGTGGTCACCATGACCTATGGGGTTACTCAGACCCAGCAGGCCTGACTAGCCATGAAGAGTGAGCCCGGGGGGGCCTGGACCAGGAAATAACCAGCAGCTAGTGACCTTCACCTCCATTCTATACTCGAGGACTCCTTGGTAGGATCTGTGTTTTGAGAACAGGTTGGTCCCTCCCTCGTGGCCAAGCAACCACGTGCTTTCATTAGCTAGTCATGTGACCTAGAAGGTACATGATTCTTATGGATAGCTAACATGAACCACGAGGTTCCAGATGTAGTGAACAAGTACTAGAAAAACTAAATATTGAGTCGTATGCTCCCAGAGGTCCTATTTGAGTCGTCTCCTTTTATTTATCTTTCATACTTCTGTGATATCATAAGGCTATGATATCACATTAGTGAAAACTGGAATTTCCCAGAATTATACAGTCAATTACATATACATCTAATCACGGTTGTCAATCGTCTACACCTCTGAGAGGAAACCTAACAAATATTTGAGTCATGGCAGAAACAGCATGTGCCTAGGCAGATGTTTCTTGTTGGCCAATAAGTGTAACACATATGCACAAGATTCACTAGTTGATGCCTAGGTTCCTAATATTTTGTCAGAAGTCAGGGAACTAGAAGTGTCCACAAAGCTATAATACCTATTTCAAAGTAATTTAAACATGATTATTTTCCTACTCCTACAACAGAGATCAGCCTCATTTTACATGTGAGGCAAATGAGATTAAGTACCTTGATTAAGAAACTAGGATTTCTCCACATCACGTTGCCTTCCCAAATAAAACCACCACCACCCGAGGAAAGCAGGAGCTATGGTGTGGTTCATGGGGTGGGATTGTGGCTGTTATATACATCGTGAGTTTGTCTTCCTTCTGTCTCTCCAGTGTACGCACATAAGCAGGAACCCCCCCAGTATTCTCATACCTCCCGGTTTCCATCTGCAATGGTGGTCACAGATACCAGCAGCATCAGTACCCTCACCAACATGTCTTCCAGTAAACAGGTAATGCCAGCAGGATGGGGCCAGGTGTGTGTGTGTGTGTGTGTGTGTGTGTGTGTGTGTGAGAGAGAGAGAGAGAGAGAGAGAGAGAGAGAGAGGCAGGCTCACACCATTGAGGGTGCCAAAGGTACAATGATCATATATACACTCCGCTGTTTCTCTGTTCTTATGAGGCTCGAGAGAGAGAGAGAGAGAGAGAGAGAGAGAGAGAGAGAGAGGCAGGCTCACACCACTGAGGGTGCCAAAGGTACAATGATCATATATACACTCAGCCATGGCTCTGTTCTTATGAGGCTCTCCTGCAAAGCTAAAAGAATCCCTGAGCTCACAGGGCAAAACAGATAGGACTTATTGCTCCCCAACAAGAGCATCAAATGCGGGCTGAAGTTGGCTGGTTTTCTGGAGTCTGAATGACACAGAGCTCTTCGATATTCAGACTGAGCATTCCCAAGTGGGATGATTGATGATCCTTGGAAAGGGTTTTTCCAGGATGGGACTGGGAGGTCAGACTGTCTGGTGAACTGCATGCTTTGCAAAGGTGGTCAGTGGAGAAAGACAATGGCGAGTCAGGGGTCCTGGGACTGATCCTACCAGTCCAGGACACCTGCCAGTCCCAGATGCTGTAAGCCTTGAAAATGACCCAGTTCTGCTAACCCTTAGAGACTCCCCAGTAAACAATGTGATCTCTTTAGGGGTCTGTGCTCACTCTGTGGCTTATCAAGAAACTTAAAAATCAACTTCCTGATGTACAGAAAGCAGGGGAATCCAGAGGCTTAGTCACCAGCTCAGTTGATGAGTAATTCCCACCTTGCCAAGAGGTAATAGAATAATCAAAGCAAGCAGCTGACAGTGAGGGCACATGGCTGAAGCTCAGGCAGCTGGACTTCAATTGAACACCGAGAACTAGAAAACAGGACAAGATGTCTGAACACGGATGTCAATTCCAGAGTAACACAATAAGACCTTTTAGCAGCAGGGGTCTGTGCAGTGTGGGAACTGTTTGGCCTTTATCGATTTCAAGATAAGGAGGCAACAACCTTGAACTTCATGTCAGAGGCACTCATCAAGGTTTGGTCTTGTTGATGGTCTTCCCCCCTCCCTCCTCTAGCCCCAAAAGTCACACCTCATCCAGTGCCACTGGCTTCTGAACAGACTCTCTCATGGGCTCAAGTCTCAGTTCTTTCCTTTACCCCATTTTTCCTCTGACTCCCAAATGAGATGGGGCAGGCTCTATTCTCCGTTCTGCCATTTTCTTGCTCTCCCCGAGCTTTCAGTTCTTCAGCTTTAAAATGATAGTCTTAACATCTGTTTATTTTGAGGATTCAGAGAGATTGTGTTCATTAAATACCTGGCACATCTTGGGTGCTAACCACATTCAAGCATGGATATCTGGGCTCTGGGATTGGAGGCAGAGGGAGGAGTCTGTGGGACCTGCTCTGCCACTCTGTTCTCACCCAATAGAAGATTAAAAGACAACCCTCCGTTGCCCTGCCTGTCCACTCCTGACTCCTGTGCCATTACCCACTCTTTGTAGCAAGCAGGCAAAACATTTATCTGTGCTCACCAATCTCAATCGGGGGGCAGCCAGGCGCAGCAGCCCTCCTTGGGAATACCTTCCTCTTTGAAAGGTTTATCAATCCATCTGCTGCTTGGGCAGTCCTAGACAGGGCTGTGATTAATTATTCATGTCTTTCCCACGTTGACTTTGATGCTTGCTTGTTGAAACGAATCCTCTGGATTCAGGAAATGGTCTCTTAATCAGACTGTTTCAAGATGCTCCATGAGATGCTGCCACCAGTCCCTACGTAGCTCTCCTTTCCACTGGACAGAGTGGCCAGTCGACCTTGAAGCCACATAAGCAGCTTTGTAGGCCTATTATGAAGCTGTCTGTATCCCAGAATATCTCAACAGTTTGACAAGACCTTTGTTTCTGCAGTGATGAAGATCATTATTATACTTAGTAAGAATTAAAAAGAAAACCACAGTCAGACACATTGCTGTAGTCTCAGGACACAGGAGACTGAGGCAAGAGGATTGAGAGTTTGAGGCTAGCCTGGGCTACATAGCAATGCGCTGTCTCAAATACCAAGACAAAAGTCCTCATGTAACACTGTATACCTCTCTCTCATGAACATAATAATCATTTTTATTTAACTGCAGCCTTCTAAGTTCAAAGAAATAAACTGAAACTCGGAGAGTGGCCTGTCCAACGTCACTCAGATAAGCTTAGCTTCAAACTTTGGTTTTTGACTCCAAATTCTGAACTCTTTCCATTTAAATGCCTCCCTTCTAATAATCCATCCTGAAAACTTCCCATGGTAATTCCAATGCTTTTGTTGTTGTAAGTGATCAGAAACCAGAGTAAAAATTAAACACACACTAAGTTCCAATCAGAAAACTTTCTATAAACCAAAAGAGAAGATAGAAAAGCTCAGAATGAAGTAAATGAGATTGAAAGTGCCACCTCGTTTACCCCGAGCAAAAACAATCTCTACGGACTCTGTTCCTAAGGCATCAGATGGCAATTCTGGTTATTTTTTCCTTTGTTTTAAAGTATTATTTTCCAAGAAGGATTTCAAAACCATTGCTAGGTGTTCTAGTTTGGTTTCTCTGATGCCGTGATAAACATCATCACCAAAAGTAACTTGGTGGAGAAAGGGTTTATTTGACTTACATGTCCAGATCACATTCATCACTGAGGGAAGCCAAGGAAAGAACTCAAGGCAGAAGCCTGCAGGCAGGAGCAGAAGCACAGACTGTGGAGGAACACTGCTTTCCTGACTTGCTCCCCTGACTTGCTCAGCTTCTTATACAGCCCAGGCCCACCTGCCCATACAGCCCAAGCCCACCTGCCCAGGGATGGGCCTTCCTACACCAATTAGCAATCAAGAAAATACCGTACAGACATACCCACAGACTCATCCGATGGAAGAAAGTCCTCAATAGAGGTTCCCTCTTCCCAGGTGACTCTGGTTTGTGTCAAGTTGACAAAAACTAAGCAGCACACTAGGTATCAGGGGTATATGGGATAAGGGAGAGAAGGAATCCCTGGTCAAATATGTTAGGGAGAACTTCTGGCTTAAACAGAGCCTGCTGGACAAGGCTTCTCAGAACATTTCATATGTTGATGTGTGCATTGAACTAGGCAATTAGTGTACACCATGCTCAGGTCATGGGACACACCCTGGACAATGCTATTTTAGAGGCATTGTATAGTGATAGGAAAAACTGAGAGACCTGATCTAGCACTGATTCCACCACTTTCTGCTGTGTGATCTTGGACAGTTATTTCCCACTGTGAGATGGTTGCTTCCTTTATAAGTGGGAAAACCCCTACCCTGTCTGACAGAACATCGAAAGTACCTAACAAGGTATCAGAGACACAGTCAAATAGAGTGGAGCTCCCTCCCTGTCCTTCTATCCGTCTGTGACCCTTTATGAGACCATCTTTCATCTTCTCCTTCAGTCTTCACCTCAGTGCTTGGTCTATGCGTGGTCAAAGGAGGTCCTGACAGTACCATGTCTCAAGATTAGGACCATCTCTCAAGCAGACCCTTGGGTCTAGGCCCCAGATCACCGTTTCCCTTTCTGCTAACACACAGGTACTCTCTCTCCCACCAGGAAAACAGCAAGTGGCTCAGGAGCCACCCAGAGGACCCAAACCCTTTGTGGTTTGCTAGATGCTTGGATCAGGGTAGATGTTCATTAAGTTGGTGGATGGGTAGATGGATGGATGGATGAATAAATGGGGGAAGGGATTCAGAACTGATGTTTACTGAGTATCTTCAATTTTCCAAGCAGCATTCCAGCTGCTTTTATATCATACACTGCCTGGCTAACCCTCCAGTCCTGCAAGATAGATATTTTTCTGCCTGGTTTACAGAGCAGAAAATTGAGGCTCTAACATGGGGAAAGGTCCTTGGGTAGCTTAGCCCTGTGGTTCAACTTGCTGTTTTCCTGGAAGATTGGAGAGAGGGAGAGGGAGGGAGGGAGGGAGGGAGAGAGAGAGAGAGAGAGAGAGAGAGAGAGAGAGAGAGAGACTGACTTACTTATGTGTTAGCAGAAAGCAAACAGCCATCCAGAACCTAGACCCAAGAGGAAGGATCTCTGGCTGGCCTGGAACTCACTGTACAGACCAGGCTGGCATCCAATTTGTAGTGATCCTCCTGCCTCCCAAGAGCTGGAATTGCAGGCATGTGCCACCACACTGAGCTTCCTGTATCTATGCATGCTTAAGTGCCCATAATAATGACCCAAGGTTATGCAGGTTTAAGGCTAAATATAGAATGTGAACTTGTAGCTATCTGATTCCAGTACTTATTGTTGCTAAGACAGGCCTGCTCCAGGGGCCTCTAGGTTCTTATTTCAAGAACCTCGGGCTGCCAGGAATCCTTCTGCAACTCCTGCCTTCTTTCCTTTCCAGAGAATTTGCCCCTTCCTCTTCTACTCTTGGGTGCTGTGAGCTGCATTCTGAGTGGGTTTGTGTCTGAGCTCCTGCATAGCAGTGCTCCACAGGTCTGGAAACGACTTGCAGCAAACAGTAACCTCGGTGAGAACAAGTGTGGGCAGGCTGTGAGCTGAGTCCTGTTTCCACAACTCTCTCTATATTCACCATTTCACTTCCTAGTTTATAGAGAGGTCAAGAGAGGCCCCCAGAACACTCACTAGCCAGAGGTGCTGACAAGAAGAAGGTGGGCAACCTCACCATGAATCCCCTGCAGGTGTACCCTCTTTTCCAACCTTCCTCACTGAGGGGGTGGGGGAGCAAAGTGGTCTGATGTTTAGGAGCACAAGCCTGGGAGTTAGGCAGATCCAGACTCAAAATTCTACCACCCTCTACCTGTATGACCTCAGAGAAATACGCCAAGCCTCAGTTTCCTTCCTATAAAATGAAGGTGATGAAACCTCTTCCATAGGATCATGGCAAGGGCTGGCTGCAAGAAGACTTGGAGAACATTCCATCAGGGTTTGACTCAGGGAACACCCAGTCCATGGAAGATGGATCAGTCACACTTGGGCTCTCTTGCTAGCAACCCTGAGTGTCTCCAGAGCTTGAGAAGGTTTATAAATGGCCAACGACATTTCTTTCCCCCATGGTCCCACTCAAAAGACAGAGGAGATGATCTTAGATCGTGGTTAAGTGCACAAGGTTTGTTGTTGTGAGTTCCTGGGTGAGTTACTTATAGTCTGTGTAGACTGTACTTTCCTCCCCTGAAAAAGTGTAATTATAATTACTACTTTCAGTTAATAGAACTACAATTAACCTCATGGAAGTTAACAATAGAAGTGAGTCGTCTATACTCACCCATCATCTCTCTTTCCTCACCCTCAGTTCCGTGTTGAGACCAATGCAGACTGGCTTCCAGCCTCACACTCCTCTGTGTCCAACTCTCTGGTGCCCCCATGTTGCTGAGTCCCATGGATGCTTTCCAATGCTGTGATACAGCCTATCCCTCTCTCTGTGAATTTTAGGATGCCAAATCATCCCATGGTACTGGACACTCCTTCTCCTGTCTTTAGCTGGAAACTCATCTTCCCAACATTAGAGCACTGGGAAGCCCAGGGTTCCTCCTTTGGTCTCATCTATGCTCACGCTTGAGCGTTTGCCTCCAATCCCCTGACTTTGGGTCAAGTGCATACACCGATGGCACCTGTAATCTGTCTCCAGGACTGTCCTGTCCACTAAGGGTACATTGACAAATGCATTATATCTTTGGTAAGACACATACATGTCCCCCACTATGTCTAGGATGCCTCTCAAGTTGAATCTGCCTAAAATAAGAATTCTTCAGTTCCCCCAATTTCTCCCTACGCAAATTCCTTTCTCCTTGGGCTTCCTCATTTCCAAAACTACTGCCTCTGTTGACATGAGTTATCTCAATTCTTTTCTCCTGTCAGTCAAGTTCTGCTCCGAGCCCTTCAGAATGCATTCTATAGCTGACACTCTTCCCCTTCCCCATGGGTACCATCCTTGTCCAAGCTCAGACTGCTCCGATTCTAGCTAATCTCCTTCAGTGGCCCTCCATTCCTGTTTCCACTCTTGCATCCAACACTATGATCTGTTTGCAATAGCCAGCGTGATCAAGAGACAAACGACCCACGTTCCTTCAAAACTCCCCAGAGCTTTCCAATGCAGCCAAACTACACAGAGACTTTCCAGGCCCTGCGTGATCAGACCGCTGCTTCTCGTTCCATTTCTCTCTCACCAAGCTCGAGGGCTCACAGCCAGCAGGTGATCACGCCCAGTGCTTGGATTTGCCCTTTTCTGCCTGGAACACCTTCATGGCTTGCGCCTTCATTTCATTCAACTCAAATGTCACTACCTCTCTAAATTACCCCCTTTCCCCTCAAGTCAGCCTAAGCGCCTACCATGCTTGTTTCCCCAGAGTATTCATCTCCACCTAAGAGTTGGTGACTGTACTGGTTAGTGGCTTACTGTTCAAAACTCATTAGAATACAAACTGTGAAGTTCCAGGCAAGTCTTGTTCACAACTACATGCCCTGGGCATGTAACAGGTACCTGATAATGAATGGATAACAGCTGCCTATCTCAAAAGGAAGATGGGGACCAGCAAGTTTGCTCAGCAGGTAAAGGCATATGCCACCAAGCCCAATGACCTGAGTTCAATCCCTGGAATTCACATGGTGGAAGGGGATAACCGAGCTCCACAAATTGTCCTCTGACCTCCACATGCACACCATGGTATACACATGCCCACACTCATACATACACATCATACACACACACACACACACACACACACACACACACACACACACACACACACACACACACATGAAAAGGTAGATGGAAGAACTGAATGCAGTGTGTGCAAAGCCCTGAGCATGGTACCCACACTTAGTGGGACTTTAGTACACTAACTATTGCCATTGTATAACAAGTTCTCTTAGCTACCATGCTTTTTGGAAAGAGGGTCACACAGTGATCCTCTGGCCTGGTCCTATGGGGTTGGGTGTCCCCAGACCACAGTGCACCTGTTATCAGATGTTTATGTTTAGATTCTGAAGGGAGCAAATAACTCTAGTTCCTTTGACAACATTTAGGGCTCAGCCACCATTTTATTATGTGAGCAAACATTTGATAGCTGGGAAGCCCAGCCCTAATGACAGGTCATAGAATCTCACTGGCGTCTCCTTATCTGCTCTTCTTGTTTGCTCTTCTATTGAAACCCGCAAGGTCACAAGCCATTTTCTCTCTCTTCCACCTGAAATCTGAAAATTGGGGGAAAAAAACCTGATAGTGGGAAGCAAAGAGACTGGAGAGTGGGGGTGGGCAGAGGCACGAAGAGGAGGCAAAGGGCATCACAGGACCCTGACCAGGGCCTCAAGAATGCAGGAGGATCAGAAACCTGTCTCCTCACACAAATATATAGCTCAGGCCCACGATTAGGAGCCCTCAAGGGCAGCATGGTCAGAGGAAGGAAACCTGTGCTGGACGCTATTAATAATGACTGCCCGACACCTTGCAAAGGACTTCACATGTATTAACCTAGCCAAACTCACCATTAGCTCCCTTTTATAGGAGAAGAAACTGAGGCACAGAGTAACTTGACCAAGAACAAAGGCTAAGTCGAAGGCTCTCTGCCCCAGACACGTGCTGGAAGGTCTCTCAGAACTGACCTGAGTTTCTGGCTTCCCAGTCTTCCCAGCTCTGAACCTTTGGACTGTCACTAGCTCACTCTGAACCTTGTTGTCCTAATCTGTAAAATGGACATAATGATGATTTCATATGGGGTTATGGTTGAGAGCACTGATTAGTGAGGAAATAATGGAATAATAGGGCTGTGGTGTGGTACTAGGCTTGTATGTGTATGTGCACATATGCATGTGTGTTTGAAGGGCGTGTCTTGAGAGAATAAGCCACTAGGCCAAAAGGAAAACTTTAACGTCAACAAAAGTGAAGGGGTGGGATGAGGGGAAAGTGACTGGAGATGAAAAGGAGAGTATTGGTGTTCTATAGCAGTTGAGTGAGTTGGGCCTGGGACTCTGGAAGGAGAGGCTGCTCCCCATAGGTGCTGTGGTTCCTCTCAGAGGGTGGTGGCTCCAGGCATTCTGGGATCTACCTGGTCTACCCCAGATGTATGGCATCAAAGGCCCTCAGTTGTTGGCTTCTTTTCCTGGTCCTCCAGGTATCTTTTCCTAATATTTACAACCTTTGAGAAATCCTCTTACAATTTCCAAAGCCCTTTCCCTGATGGAAAGTTTGAGTAAAGGAACTTTTTTTCCCCCCGCTTGCTTTGTAGCCTTGCTGCTCCACCTGAACATTATCAGCCCAGCCTGGAAAGTTCTTAGAAATGCAGACTCCCCAGGCCACAGCAATGGCACAGCAAGTGAAAGCACTTGCTGCCAAGCCTGATGACCTGAGTTTGATCCCCAGAACTCACATGGTAGAAGGAACGAACCAACTCCCTCAAGTTGTCTTCCAGCCTCCACATGTATACCATGCACATGCATGGGCACATGAACACACACACATGCACACTAAAAAGTAAATGTAAATAAATAAATGTAAAAATTTTTGGAAAACTTCTAGGCCTACCCTAGTCCCAAGAACCAGAAATGGCTCAGAATCCACATTTTAACAGGATACTAATCCATAGCTCAGTTCAAGTTTGGAAACAATGATGTAGGCATCCTTGTTCTTAGAGCTCTTATGAAGATACCTACTTTTGCAATAGGCCCAGAGCTTCCCACTCAGCTGCTTTGGAACTGCCCTGAGCACTCTATAAAGACCATTCTCACAGAATGAGGAGCCCAGCTTCAGGGTTAAGGTCAGCAAGTTAGGGCTGCTTCAGGATCCCCAGCATTGGACTTCTTTCTTCAGAACTGCTCAAGAAAGTGGGCTCTAAGCTTTTCCCAAAGGGAGCATGCTTCTGAATCAATACTGTAGAGCTTAGAGTCTACTCCATTCCTTTCCCCAGCCCCTAGTTCTTTGCTACCTATGTTGAGTGTCAGCTGCCTTACAGAAGCTAAACTAATGGTCTGTGTACACAGAGCTGACTCTATCCTTTCTCTCTCTCTCTCTCTCTGCAGTGTCCACTGCAAGCCTGGTGATGTCCACATCTCATTCACTTTGTGCGCAGCAACAAGGACCCTATTTTCCACACCATCATTCTCTGGGCAGCTGTCATGGAAAAGCCCGGAGACATGACCAGCAGCACCTGGGAGCCCAGGAGAGGTCCCTGCTTACCTGACGTCCAGCTGGCACCTTGGACAACCCGCTCTCAGGAAGTGCAGCTGGAAACCCAGCTTCCTTTCTCTGCAGTATTGTCATAATGCTTCTCCCAAGATGCCAAGTGCTCTTGTTTGTCCCAGAGGAGGGCGGCATGAAACAGTGCAACAGGAACCCAGAAAGTGGTTGAGTCTATGCTGAGATCTTTCATCGAACAAACTGATGCAAAAACTTGAATCTGTTACTGAAACGAGATAAGGAGGATGTATGCTTTTGAACTGAGCCAGACACTGTAAATACTGACGAACTCCTCCTGCCCCCTTCCCAGATAATCTCAAGATTTCTTTCAAAGAAGTAAAATTTGTCCAATGGGTGTAAACTATAAACTACTGTAATTAAGTGCAATTTCCCTTCCACATTATCTGTATATAATACTAAAGTGTCTATTAGTTTTCTTTGTAAAGGTCAGAGTTGAAATTTCAAAAGTGACTTGCCCCCTCTCTCTTTCCCATGGCAAAACACCTGACGTGGGAAATGAAGCTCTTTGCCCCATGCAGCCTGGACACACAGGGATGATGTACTTTGGACAGACTGCCAGCTAGCTTTGCTCTCTGATGTTAAGACACACCTCTGGATGCCTAGAGGGATGGACATAGTGTCATTGTGATGGCCTAGCTTCCTGTGGGCCTGGGACTCAGCCAGTGCATCCCCCAAGAAACCCTACCACAGGGACGTTGATTGGCTGACAGCCATCTCAGGAAGCCTCCCATTAAAGCAATTTATTTTGTCACCTCCTGGAGTCCCCTATTTATGACACCTCCCCTGCCATGGTTTCACCAAAACCCCTGGTTTTGTCTCCTTGAGATTTTCAGGTAACTCCACCGGGGTCACTGCATGTATCCTTCTGGGGTATAGAGGGGCAGATGGCCTATTGGAGTTTTTGTGTTGGCTTTCTCACTCTTCAGTGTGGGAAACAGTTGATTGCACCATCAGACTCCACAAGTCCCGCAAAGAGATCTGGCGGAATCAGAAGCCAACACCATGTCTTCCTGCAGCTGGCGGGGACAAGGCCATAGAGCCAGTTCTGGGTCACTTGTGCTGATAGAAACAGGCAAAAAGCAGAAGGGAGGAAAATACAGTGGGGAACTTCTGAAATCTCATTTTAAGCATTCATTCCAGTCTTCCACCCTCTTCTTTAAAACTTCTAATTTATTTTTTATTTTTATTTATTGTATTTATACATATTTGTTATATGTATATGTGTGCCTGCTTATATGTATGTGCACCACACATGTGCAGAGCCCAAGGAAGCCAGAACCAGAAGAGGATGTTGAATCCCTTGGAACTGGTGTTGCCAGTAGTTGTAAGCCTCCTGATGTGTATGCTGAGACCTGAATATGGGTCCTCTGTAAGAACAGCAAGTGTTCTTAACCACTGAGCCATCCCTCCTCCCCCACAGGACTGTCAGGACCAGGAGAAGGGACTCTTGGGGATGCCAGCACTTTCCTGGTCCTCTCTCTGATAGGGATGCTAATGAATACAAATTGCCCAAAAGGAGAAAAGCCTGGAGAATACCACAGGGTAATCTCTAGAATTCAGTGCAATTTCCCTTCAACATTATCTGTATATAATACTAAAGTCTGTTAGTTTTCTTTGTAAAGGCAGAGTTGAAATTTCTTGTAAAGGTCAGAGTTGAAGTGTCTTGCCTCTTCTCTTTCCTGTGGAAAAACACCTGTTGTGGGAAATGAAGCTCTTTACCCCATCCAGCCTGAACTGGAGGACTTGGGAGGAAGAATCCAATTGCTGACTTGGGAGGAAGGACCTTCCTCTGGGCTCATTGCTGCCTCCTCTTTCTCATAATTAGGCCTACTGGCCTGTGCTTTCTCAACAGAGTATCTCCCAGGCAAAGTATAAGCAAGGAAGCCATGCTCACCAGGCCCTGGGGTAGCAGGATTTTCAAACATCCCAATATAACAGAAGATGCAATTCTCAATGAGCTGGCAAAATTTGCTAAGGATCTACTGTGTGCCCATATCAGTGAATATAGAACTCTGGCCCCCACTAGTACTGGCTCCCCCAGACAATGTAATTTGGGGCTAAAGCAGTCAAGAGGGAATTTATGGTTAGGTTGAGATAGGCCCAGACAAGGCCAAGCAGTATACACAGAGAAGGCACGATCCACTTGCACTACTTGAGGTGATCTTACAGGACATGTCCAGGGATTGAAGAGATGGCTCAGCTGTTAAGAGCATTGCTGCTCTTTCCAAGGATCTAGGTTCAGTTCCCAGTATCCATATCAGGCAGCTCACAACCACCAGTAACTCCAGCTCTAGGGGATCCAGCACCCTCTTCTGGCCTCTGCAGGCACTGCATGTATGTGATACACATACAGATTAGCAGGTACACACACAGAGACATAAATAAAACTAAATATAGTTTAAAATTTCTAAAGGACGTGTCCAATTCCAGGAATGGCCAAAGGATAAAGGCATGAAAACCCAGCCTCAGTCGGAGCCAAATCACACTGCTGGGAGAACACCAAATATCTGCACTTGGCAGAGTTTAGAACTAGTATTGTTGTCATAACCCTGAGAATCTAGAATCATAACTGACCCAAGAGGCCATCCAAACATAGGTAAAGGTAGGCTGGATTATGACCAGTCTTAAGTAACTTTTCTTAACCAAATCCTACTTGAACTAAGACATGTATAAAGGTGACCCAGGCAACTGAGTTCCCAGAAACATTAGCAGGCCCTTTCTAACATTCCCTTACCAGCTGAAAGAAAAAGGGCACCTACTGTAGGGGGTCCAGGTGGAAACAACCCATTCTGAAAATGTGTTCACAACTAAAAGTCGTCATACATTCCTGACAGGACGTTATGAATCAGCATTTTCCAGGCTCTCTGAGCATAATCTAACAGGTGTTTCTGTTTCTTCCAGGACCCGCTGTCATGTTCTACAGAGAGCCCTGGAGCAAGGTGCTCTTCATTTTGATATCCATGGATAGGAAACAAAGTCATTAAAGAAAACGTGTCCTAAAATGTACCAAACTGTTCCCTGCCTAATGGTTGTGAAGTCTTTCCTCCAAAGACACAGATAGACTGTTCTGTTTGCTATGGAATTCAGGTGGATAAGAATACAATGCAGCCAGGGAGTCTGAGATCTCCACCCACAGTTGGGGGTAGGCTTTTGATATGCTTCTTGAAGCCAGAATACCTTGATTAGAATCAGTATTGCCAAGGTCCTTTGAGGAGTAAAAGGGGCAGTAGACATTAACTGCTAATCCTGAACTCCGTGTGCAGTGAGTGCATGTGTGCTAGTGAGCACTCTCTCATCCCAGAGACACTCATGGAGTCTCCTGGGCTTGGCTGATGCTTCCAAATTCAACTAAGATTTCCTCATCGCCTGTTTGGTACTCAATATTTGTTTGTTTCTGTGGCTTATGGCAAATCAAGTGGTAAACTGAGGTATAGGAAGGAAGGGCAGACCCAAAGAGAAGGCTCGACAGGGAAGCCTTTGTCTTCCACAGGAAAAGAAGATAAGACAGGATTCAGGGGAGTCGAAAGAGAGCCCCAGAGACTGGAACTAAAACTTGCTCTGTTCCTGAAATAAGGGGAAGGCAGGGGATAGGAATCCCAAGAAGAAGCTTCGAGTAAGAAAAGGTGAAGGTCAGGAGGAGGCAGGAACTGATTCTGCCCAAAGTAAAGCAGGGACAACAGCTCCCTTGATCCAGGGATTAACTCTAACAAACGCATCAAAAGCCACTCTAGAAAATGAGCAGTTGTCAGCAGCAAATTGCTCAAGAGAGTTCAACATAGAGACAAATGCATTCCAACCCATCACACAGGCTGCATATTCATAACAAATTGCCAACAGCCGAACTAACCGCTTGTTTGGAAGGCTGCTCCTTCCACTGTTCCTTTCTTCTCCTCATCTACCTCTTGGGTCCAGGAATCATTCCACTAGGCAAATACTGGATTGTCAGCTAAGACTTAGAGAGTGACTATTTTATACATGAATCCTTGGCATGTGCAGGACTTGGCACACACCTGGATGAACTCTCTTTTTTCTGGGCTTGTAGAGAAGAAGCTCTTTCTAAAGGAGAGCAGTCAAAGCAAACACACAAGGGGAGAGGGGTGATGTCAAAAGCAGAAGCCTAAAGCAGGTTTCCTGTGACCTGTATATGCACATTTCTGCCAACACACCACCCAAGACAAATCCATTTCTTTTGTATTTTAGTTTCTCACAAAATATATATTGTTATAGCTTCAAAGGGAAGATTTCTTTCCTATGCCCTACTGTCTTGACATCCTTAATAAACCAAATTAATTCTGAAGTTATTCCAAGTTAATTCTGAAAAAGACAAATAAAGCTCATTTTATTTTTTTAATATTTTACTTATTATTTTTATTTTATGTGTATGTGTGTACTGCCTGCATGTAGGTAAGTGCACCCATGTCGTGCAATGCCCGCGGAGGACACATGAGGCTGTTGGATCCCCTGGGACCGGAGTTATGGACAGTTGTTAGCTGCCATGTGGGTGCTGGGATTTGAACCTGGGTCTTCTGTAAAAAAAGTCAGTATTCTTAACTGCTGAACCATCTCTCCAGCCCCAGATAAAGTACTCTTTAAAGAGAGAGAGAGAGAGAGAGAGAGAGAGAGAGAGAGAGAGAGAGACCTACATAACAATGTATAAAAGAAGATGTGATTTCTAAGCCATTACAGGACTTTTTGTGCTCAATATTGCTTTTGGAAACATCTTGTTGAAAACAATCTTTCCCCCCTTCATTTATTCAAGAAACGTTTCCTGAGCTGAGACGATGGCTCAGTTGACAAAGTGGTCATCATGAGGATCTGGGTTTGGATCACCAGCACTCATGGAAGAAGCCAGGTGTTGGGAGGCAGAAACAGGAGAATCCCTGAGGCTTGTTCAGTCTAGCCAGCCTATCAGTGAGCTCCAGGTTCAGCGAGAGGTCCTGCCTCAAAAAAGTGGAAAACCATAGGAGAAAACACTTAATGTTGACCTCCAGCACCTACCTGCACATCTATGGGCATACACACACACACACACACACACACACACACACATATACACAACAAAAATCACACCTGCTTTACTTATGCTACATTATTTTTGTTTTTTTATGAGCTTTATTAATTTGGAATAACTTCTCCCTGGAGTTTCCATTTCACTAGGACAAAGCCAATGACAGAATAATCAACATTAAAAATATGCACAATGCAGCAAATGGTGATCAACACAGAGAACCATAACTCACCAATGTGCAGAGAAAAAGAGACTACTTATCCCTGAATAGGGAAATTACACCAAATTTCAGCCTCCCAAGGCTGAGGGATCATTAAGGAAGAGGGGGCAGAAAGAGCCAGAGGTAGTGAGTCAGTGAACTCACAGTAGTGGTGACAGCATGCACAAGTCCCATGAAAGCTTAAGTCAGACAATATCCCAGCATAGACATGGGGAAGTGGGTAAGAAGCCCCAATCTTGCCTGAGGAACTATTGGTAACCAATGGCTGCTGGGAAGGAGAGATTCAGTCTCCTTTAAGGGTAGACTCTTGGTAGGTTGACCGGGCTCCAGTGGATGAATCCACCACACCAAAGGCATTTGGGGACACAAACCTGACTCTATAGGCCTTAATTTGTATATATAAATAATTTATATATAAATTATCATATATATATATATATATAAAATTTTGTGGGGGTTAGTAAGAGGGATTCAGATACAGGAAGAGATTTAAAAATGATCAAAATATATTCTATGAAATTCAT